AGCCTGATGGGCCACTTGGCTTGTATGCAGACTTCACATACTTTCATGAAAATCACAGAAAGGCTTCCTTTTTTGTGATTTGTTCATAATATGGGCATGTTATCAAAGTATGCAAGAGCGGTGCTGTTTTTCAATTGAAGATATATGAAAGGGGTACTTTTTCTGTCAAAATTGTATACAAAAGGGTAAGGGATCAAGGACCTCAGGGAAGTACCACCCCATATGGAATTTTGTAGAGTACCCCCTTCCCTCCCCCCCACCTCCTCCACCACCAGGCTGTTGGGTAGGATTCCACCAAGTGACCGGGCGTTGAAACAGCGCTATGGAGACTGATTAGATCTAGATCAGACAATGAAAGACATGACTCATATTGAATTCTGAAAACAATGTGAGGACCTTCCAAAACTGTGCCATGAAAATGTTTGAAATTCTGATAGAACTTCATCTTACAAAATATTGAGTCAAAATATTAACCTTTAACCTTTATTAATAAAATTAAACATGATGAAATGTGAGCTAAAAGTCGGGCTACTGACATAACTGAAGATTAAAAGAAAGTCTCTACGCATGATTTCATTCACCCAAGAGGGAATATTCTCATACTTTACCACTGTGGCAAATAATTGAACTGTCACAGATGCATACCTAGCCTTTACACAGTAATACACCAACAGCAACAGTCATAGATGATAGTCATTCAACCTTCTTTTAACATCATTTCACTCATGTCTTTGAAAGCTTGTGATACTTACGTAACTATAGTACCGCAGAAACTTCCAAATTCATAGCTGTTGCGTCCTGTATTGTTACTCAAATAAACTTAAGCCTAATGAACTTCAATGATGAAGTTTGTTTGTAAACACAATTTTTAATTACTTGAAAAAAGTTACTGTTTAAACCTCTTTAAGATTACAGCTCATCTGTTGATGATAACACTACACATACACCTCACATCTACTCATCTTTCACAGAAGCGTAAGGAGAGGAAAAGAAAATTGCTGTCAAAGTAAACCAGACATGTAAGAAACTACCGGGAGAACAGAGCAAATAAACGCCAAAGATAAACTTTACGAAGGGTACAATACCGTATCTGTCAATTACTCTATGTACAAACCTGCTAGTATCTAAAGAGGAATATGCTGCGGGTAGTACATCAAGGCATCGTTTAAAGAATTTTACATGCTTCTTACAAACAAAATCGTCATTAACACTAGGTTTCTTCTCATTTTCCGTGTCCATCCTAAGGCTTCCAAAAGATGCAAATCTTCTTCATGTAAGTGACACTGATGTACCGGTAAAAGCAAAGAGAGTGCACTGGGAATGACAGCCACAGGTCATCCACCCAACTCGCAATGGGTCCACTAAACAGGCGGCCGGCGGATGCAAATTCAAGCACAAGAAAAAGATACTTTAGAGGACATTACAGTCCACTTCTTATAAACTAAGCTGAGGGCTAAACTCGCTGAATATCTCCCGAGGTCTTCCAGGTATGGACTGTGGGAAGCTACATGAAGCAAGTTCGAGTTCTGACTTAGCATGCTCGCGACATGTGATGATCTATGGCAAAAGAAAATGTTTCTTTTGACTTTGATCATCATGAAAGTTGGATACAATTGTACGTGGAAAACTGTTTCTTATTCTCAGTGTATCTTGAGGATAAATTTAATTGTTTATTCACGGTACAGTCAGTAAAAACAATCTTCTCTTTTAAAACTGGTTTTATTATTATAAGTTTACAAGCTTTGAAAGTACAATTCTGTGTCCCCTGAAGATTCAGCTGATTTTCATTACACGCACATTTGACTACTTAAGAGAAATCATTCATAAACAAATCGCCCAGGTTTGTTTTTCTTTCGTCCCTTCACAAGCCTTAAGCGCGATATGAAATAAAATAATTCTAGATTGCGGAAAACGGGTGGTAAACACATCACAGTCTGTAAAGTCCGTTAAGGACTTATTGGCATGCCTGAAAAAAATATTTCCGAAATTACTTAGAGTCTTCAAGCTCAGAAATTTCTCTGTCGACGTGAAAAAAAGTAAGACAACTTTAACGTAACCCTTGGAATATCTGTTAGTCAAGGTATTCGGTGCATGAACTCTTTAGTCTCTACGGAAACGCTTCCTCTGTACAAAAAACACTCTCCAGTCGTTTGAACTAGTGCCAACCCAATTTTCCCTCGTTACGTTGTCCTTCATTAAAGAAGACAGTCTAGATAGAATCAAGCTAAACGTGCGTCCCGGCTCAAACTGTTTCAGTGTGGACACGCCAGGTTATCCTCTTGTGTAATTGTGTTGCGCTTGTCTATGTTTCTTCTTCTTGTTCCATATACGATCGACTCTAAAGCGACTATATTCACTAAGCTTGGCGCCGCACTTTGGGCAGGAATGAACGACGTTCTTGAGTCCATCCAATATGAATGGTATCCACATACAGCAGTAGCACCTGAAAAGAATATATCATTAAGAGTCAAGTTTTAGAAATTTCGAAACCGAGTCCATGCGGGGGGGGGGGGGTACTCTTTTATATGGGCTATATAGGTATGTGCAGCCCCAAAGGGTATGGTTTTTCAGCCGTTTTGGTTATAGATAGGGCATCGAATTTAGCTGATTTTGGCCATTTTGGTCATAAATAGGGTATGGTTTTTGCAGTCTAGCCTTGATATGGGGATGTTTTTAAGAAGAAGCCACTTTTTCATCATTATCGAAAAGAAAACCAACAAAAACCTTTGACAAATTATGCTTACGGTAATTTAACATTGGTATGAACTAGGGAACTAATTATAACGCAGGTCGGAAACAGGGTTTTGATTTAAGGGTTAAGTCATTAATAGGGTTTCGAATTTTTGGTCAGGTCATAAATAGGGTTGGGAATATTGCAGATTTTGGTCATAAATAAGGTAAGGGTTTTGGGAAGCGGGCCACACACCCCCACCCGATTTTTCCGGGGGTAGCCCCCCCGGGAGTCCATGTCTAGAGCATAACACGGCTTGCAGCGCACTTGTGTTTAACTTTAGAGTATGAGATATAGCTGTAGGAGAGTGAGATCTGCCGCACGTGAACTGCACGTGCCGGAATGTGTAGATGGCAAGAGACTACAGACCATGTTTGAAATCCCCTGGGGACGTAGCTAGACAAAAATTATGACTGAGACAAATGTCTATGGTTTAAATTCTCTTCCAAATATTTAGCAGTGTTTTACATTCCTCCTCCAAAAAAACAACAACAAAAAAGAAAAAAAATGACTAAGACAAATGCCTAGGTTTGCCTCATATTGGCTTCAACCCTTTTGGTGTTATCTTTCCACCAATTTTGTATTTATTGTTACTTTTTTTGTAGGGATGCGTTATTTATAAACAGAATAAAGATTAATCAATTTTAGATCCTCCAGGTGCGCTTGCTGAAGTTAGCTCCACCTCTCACTGAAAAGTCCCATCGGGGAAGTGTCAGTATACTATTGTTTGTGTTTTGATTTTGTTCAGGCAAGAGACCATAATCTCTTGGTTCATGC